GATTTTTTTTGTTTTATTCGCAGTAAAACCACGGTTAATTTTCGTAAGGGAACATGGAAACTCAGAGAGAATATTAAAAGAGATGCATTGGTGGCAGTGAAATTATTACCGACATTAAAACACGTTATTAAGACAACAGAAATAAAGGTTCACAGGATTATGAACGTACATGAAAATGATACACGGGCTTCATCTTGGGCTTTTTGAACTTTTTCTTTTCTCGTCGCCGGACTGCTGATGTCTTTTTTTCGGGTATAGTTGTCCATCAGTTATGATCATTTGCAGTCAGCCACAAACATGAGGTGAGAGTGGGCGAGGGCAAAGGAATGGAGCGTCACGTGTGCTTAGCTTACTGCCTACTGCGTTCACCTTAACATGCTTTTTTTTTTATTGTATATATATATATGATCATGTTTATATTTTTATTTAAGTATATAGATACGTTAATATTATTATTTTATTTTTTTTGAGCAACTGGGATGGTGCCCCACTGGGAGTTGGTGCCCCACGCAAACTGCATACTCTGCGTATAGGGAGTGGCGGTACTGAATTTAATTCAAATCAATGTCTATTTGTATAGTGCATTTCATGATGCATATTGTTTCAAAGCAGTCTCACATGATATGCATGTCTCTACATTACAATTAAGAGTAATTTGTTATCCGAGGTGGCTATGTCAAAGTAATGTCCGTATGGCAGAAATATACAGTTCTAGGATAATACAAATCAGGCAGTTAGTTAATGACATGTATTCAAGCAGAAACGATGAACACAATTAAGGCAATGATTACATGTTGTGATCATAATTACAATGTAAGTAAAATTTGGGAGTTCTGTCAGGACCACTATCGTCAATATAACTTACAATTAGCATACATTTTAGGTTGGGGGAATGGTTCTGTTCTGGGCAAACACTCCTTGCCCATCCACGCAGCCTAGCATGGATAGGTGCAGGGAGAGCAGAATACCCCCCAAAACAACCATATGCTGAACCCCCCAACCAAAATGCTGATAGCATGATATCTAACTGAATGCCTTACGGAAGGAGAGTGGTGGGCCAAGAAGAGCAGCAGGCCCCTTTTTAAAGCAATCTGAAATTAAGATGCAGAATCCACTAGATTGCAGCCTAGTTGCCAGTTGTAGAAAACACTGTGTACTGCAGCCGTAGAGCAAGCAATGACAGGTTTAGAGATCGCAGATTCTGCCTAGCCTAAGCTTAGCATCCATAACACGGCATATAGCTCAATAATTCAAGTCATGTTTATACAGGTTGTCACCTCCCATGATATTAGCGTTCTGAACTGACGTTCATGTCCTCTATCTGATAACCCGCATTAGTGTAGTAGACAATCCTTACCAATACTCTCGAAGCTTATGCAACAGTGTGTAGCTTGCTTAAGCACGGCATGTTGCAGTAGTCAGACCTAAAGAAAATAGCATTACCAATAACCAGATAACCCATAGCAGCAAGCATATCTCAAGATAATTAGATGGCCTTAAACAATAGCTTAACATAAGCTTCTTGCTGTTGCAAGTTTACCCGCATACCAGCACTGCAGAAACACCCGATAGGCTAAAGGCTGATTTATACTCGATGCGTCCACAAGTTTGCTTTGGTGCGCGCGGAAAATATGACGTCATCGCGGTGTTGGCGGAAGTTCGCTTTGAGTGCGCGCAACGTCGTTTCGTGTGGCGGTGTGCATGACATTTTTTGTAACTTCCGAGCAGCTCCGCTTCCGAAGATGCACAAGTTCAAAGCGACTCTAGCCAAACATGCACGTCTATGCTGGCATTTGTGTGAAACAGAAGCAGTTGATGTTAATTTCAAACTCCACCAGGTGCAGCTTTCAACGTTTTTAGGGAAAACGTTTTTTTTGTTGTTGTGTTTTTTTTGCATAGTTTGTCCAAGGCTTTTTAATTGAAGTACGTTTTTTTTTTTTTTTTTATAAAAATAGAAATAGAATTAATTTAATTCAATTCAGTTCAAGTTTATTTGTATAGCACTTTTCACGATACAAATCCTTGCAAAGCAACTTTACAGCAAATTAAGTTTCTACAATATTTAGTTTCTAAGTTTCTAATAATATTTAGATACTATTTATACACTATTTGCTTAAGTTGTCTTGGTTTTGATGCGAAATAAACACAAAAGCTTAAGATTATTTTAATCAGTTTGTACATAAAAAATTACTAATTCATCAACTCATTCATCACGCGAGAAATCTTGTACCGGCAAATGTCTTCTTCTCACCGGTGATTCCCGATGGTTTTAGAGGACAATTACGTCTCGTCGCCCCCTGTTGTTTCAAAGAATAGTACAACGGCAAACGCGACAAGTATAAAAGCCTTTTCCGTTTGGGAAGGTGCGCGTGCAGTCAGTGGAGGCTCGCGAAGCGGAGCCAGGCGAAAGTATAAATCCTGCTTAAGCAATGGCAGGTCTAGCAACGATATGATAGTGGACACTAGATAAGCCTTAACAAGCAAGCAATCACATTACCCTGATAGCTTTAAGCAAAGACCTTCTGAAATGCATAGAGTGGGGCAGCATGCCCTTACAGAAGAATAGAAGAATAGTGCTCTTTTATTAACAACTAAAAAGAGCAGCATGCCCCTTTAAAGCAGTACGGCATATGGTCAATACTCGAATTTAAGCAACAGCATTTGCCCTTGTCCAGATAAAGTTTAGCATTGATACAGCTTTAGAAGCAAACTTACGATCTGCGCATTAGTATCAAGCACATTACCGATACACTAGTTAGCTTGAGCAACAGCATATCACTGACTTAAACACAGCGTGTTGGAAATAGTCGGATAAATTTTATGAAAGCATCCCCAATAGATGAGCCTGAAGCAGCAAGCCTGTTTCATATTGACAGCCTTGACAATAGATTAAAACAAGGCTCGCTGGTAAATTTAACTGGTAATGTTACCAGTGTGACAATACGATAGCATGCCTAGCAAACATAACTGAACAACTAGCCTTAGACAATGAGCAATATCTGAAGCATGTTCGCCAACATAGCATTAGGCAATAAAATGAAAGAAACTTTGCTTAGCTTCGTGAAGACATTCAGAGATGAATAAAGATAAAATGGCCAGTTGTTACATGGATGCTTTAACCCTTCTTGAATATCTTGCTTCTTCCAGTGGGGAAGCAGATCTCGTGTAAAGTTGTTGGTGCAGTCATATTAGCACAACTTTGGCGAAGAATTGCGGGCAAAGTGTCTATATCAATTGCGAGGAGCCGTGCTCGCTCAGATCACTTTCAGTCTATCGGCTTGACAAACAACGTGGCGAATTCACAACTTGAATCTGGTGAGATACTCTGTGGGAATCCTGTCGAAAATCCTGATTGAACGCTTCCTATGGAGATGGAATTTGCCGTCTGATTAGTTCCTGAGCGAAGCGATAGCTGCTGAATAATGACAGAAGGGACCTTTTGAATGGAATTATGATTGGTGTCGTGATCCTATAGGTAGACGTGGATCAGCTGAGTGTCAGCTGATGCGAGCTTGACTAACATGGCTTGACAGAACTATCGCTACGCTCCATTTCTGTATATTTATTCCGAGTTGGCATTAACTGAGGTCCTCGCAAGAGGCCGGATCCAGAGTGGAGCTTGTACAATCTCTAGTTATCTTGGGATCGGCATACTGAGGTAGAAACAGAAAAGTTAATATATAATAATTACCATAGCTGTTGTTCATGACTTTTCGAGCAAAGAATAATCATGTGCATTTGGTCAGACATAACTGGAGTACAAGGTTATGAGAACTCCTAACATTATTAGGAAGGTTATTCCAGAGTTTAGGAGCCAAATGTGCAAATGTTCAATCCCCTTTAGTGGACTTTGATATCCTTGGTACTATCAAAAGTCCAGCGTTTTGCGACCTTTAAGAGTTTGATGGATTGTGGTGTGATAGGAGACTGTTTAAGTACACACGAGTTAAACCATTTAGGGACTCATAAGTAAGTAGCAATATTTTATAACTGATACAGAATTTAATAGGCATCCAGTGTAGAGATTGTAAATTTGGGGTGGTATCCCTGTTGAAAAAAACAGCATATGCTGGTTAGGAATGTTTTGAAGCATGGCTGCTGGTTTGAGCTGGTCCTTAGCTGGTCATGAGCTGGTTTAAGCTGGTCCTTAGCTGGTCATGAGCTGGTTTAAACTGGTTCTTAGCTGGTCATGTACTGGTCCTAAGCTGGTCCAAAGCAACTAGCTCCTGCTCAGGACCAGCTTAGGACCAGCACATGACCAGCTCATGACCAGCACATGACCATCTAAGGACCAGCTCAAACCAGCAGTCATGCTTCAAAACATACCTAACCAGCATATGCTGGATTTTTCAACAGGGATGGTCATATTTATTTGACCTAGTAAGAACTCTAACAACTGCATGTTGGACTACCTGTAGCTTTCTTATTGAAGATGCATGACAACCACCTAGTAGTGCATTACAATAGTCCAATTTAGAGGTCATGAATGCATGAACTAGCATTTCTGCATCTGGTGCATAAAGTGGTTTGCTGGTTGAAGCTGTTCCTAGCTAATCTCCTAGCCTAGCTAACCCGGTGTTTAGCAGATATAGCTGGACTTAAAAGCTAAAAAGTACCCCAAACTCACCAAAACAGTCCAGCCTGACCAGCTTGATGACAAGCTATCCAGCTTATTTTATTTTATTTTTTTTTTCAGTAGGGCAGTAGCAACTTGGTGAACTCCAACAATTAAATCATTGTCAGTGTGAACACCACCTTACACTTTAGACTACTGGACAGTTCTAATAAAAAGCAGGAAAAAAAAAAACATTGGTAACACTTTCTATGAAGCTCGTATTTATAATACATTATAAGGGTATTCTTAAGGCATTATAATGCATGCATAATGCATTATAAAAAAAACGTATAATGTTATATAAACTCATGAATAATCATAACAACAGTTATAATACTTAATATGTTTATTTCTCACTATTAACTAACTATTGACAATGACTTTTATCTCATAAAACTCCTAATTTGCTGCTTAGTAAGCTAGTTGTTAAGTTTAGTATTAAGGGATATAAAATATGGTCATGCAAAATAAGGCATTTGCTTTATACGTACTAATAAACAGCCAAAATATTAGTAATATGCATGCTAGTTAATAGTGAGAATTGGTCCTTAAAATAAAGTGTTACCGCATAATTATTTAATTGGTTACTGTTGATTTGATTACACTTTATTTTGATAGTCTACTTTAGACATTCTACTAACTATAAGTAACTTTGCAACATACATATCAACTAACTCTCATTAATTTGCAACTACATGTCAACTAACACTCATTTCAGTATTAGTAGACTGTTAGGTTAGGGTTGGTAGAATAAGTTGACGTACTTGCAAAGACACTTATAGTCAGTTTATCTGTTGGTTGACCATCAAAATAAAGTGTTAGCAAATATTTACAGTAGCAGACATACAAATACTCTAATGACCGCTAGTTGATATGTAGATGCAGAGTCACTTATCAACAGCTGTTTAAAGGGTACCATCAAAATAATCAAACTGATATTACAATAAAAATAGTTAAAAGCAAATGTGTCATATTACACATTCATCTGATCTGATATCTGATCTTATGGCTGTTTGAGAGAAAAAAAAAGTTATTATTATTATTATTATTATTATTATTATTATTATTATTATTATTATTATTATTATTATTATTATTATTATTATTATTATTATTATTATTATTATTATTATTATTATTATTATTATTATTATTATTATTATTATTACTACTTATAAGTGGTCTTTGACCGCTTTAAGTAAAGTAGCTTAAGAAAAATGGCAAGATATGAGACTTATAATACATTATAACTATGAGAAATATAATCCATTGTAAAAGTGGATGCAATGTGTTCATTGTGTTATAAATCATCATACTCTTAAAAGCTATAACCACAAATAAGTAAATATTATAATATATTAAAACTGTTCTTATGAATATTCATGAGATGATACAACATATTATAAGTTTTTTTATAATGCATTATGCATTCATTATAATGCCTTAAGAATACCCTTATAATGTATTATAAATACGGGCTTCATAGAAAGTGTTACCAAACATTTTAGCCTTTATTTCCAAAAGCTATTTAGTAGCTGTTAGCATTTAGCATGCCACAGTTTCGCTAAAGTAATTCTATGGCCTCTGCTCTCGCAGTCCTCAATTCTTTAAATGTGTGTTTTGGGACGTTGCTATGAAATGTGATGTTGTATTTTCACTCTGCCTACACAAACACATTAGGTTAGTATTTTATTGTTAAGATTACACCACACATAGCGTTACTATTAAATGCATTAACTTTTCGTATTAGTACAGAAACATACCTCATTCAGTCGCTGAAATTATACAAAGGCATGGTTCGTCTCTACGATATGTGCCTATGTGCCAAGCTATGATGAAGAATATGGTACAAGACACATTGAAACTGTAGATGCACACACCTATTACACCACATTCTCTGCTGTGTGAAGACCAAGAGCATTCTAACCCCCTCCTCCCCCTCCACCACTCGCTCTTCTCCTTTCTTGCTCCCACATCTCTCCCTTATATACCCCAAATATCCATGCAAAACCGGGTCTCCCATCTCCCTCTCATTCTCAAATCCTTCTCTCTTACCCTTTTCTACCTGGCATATTCTCCCTCTTTTTTGTCTTCCTCTCTCTCTCTCTTTCTTTCTCTTTCTTTTCTCTCTCTTGCAGGTCCTCCCAGTATCCGGGCCATGCGGAATATCACAGCTGTGGCCGGTCGCAACACTTTCATTAACTGTCGTGTGATTGGTTACCCCTATTACTCCATCAAGTGGTTTAAAGACGGGACAACGCCGTTGCCAGACAACCATCGTCAGGTGGTGTATGAGAATGGCACTCTGAAGTTGAGTGATGTGCAGAAGGGTACGGATGAGGGGGCGTATCTGTGCAGCGTGCTCATCCAACCCCAGCTCTCCATTAGCCAGACTGTCTACGTCACAGTCAAAGGTTAGTGATTACTGCTAATGGTTTTCGGGATGTTTATAGCCCCTTAAAAAAAGTCACAAGCAGTCACAATTAAAAAAAATAAATAAATAAATTAGAAGGTCCCCCTACAATTTAATTTGGGCTGTTTGTTCACAGGTTTTTAAGCAAAAATAAATAAATAAATAAATAAAACCTTCTAGATTATAAGTTTAAAACTGTTAATGAATATTTTTAAGATTTCATCTCCTTCATAACAAGTCTTACAATGATCCACATAATTTATTATTATTCAGAGACTTAAAAACTTCACCATCATGTAGTGTAAATTGTTTATTTGCGGATAATTGTGATATCTAAAATGTATATATAAATTAGTGTTGATTCGTCATTTTGTATTTAGCATGTAATCTTTTAATATAATAATCAAATATGTTTTTGAAGATAATGTAGTCTTGTAAATAGTTTTTGTGTAAAAAATAAAATAAAATCATATGCATTCATGCATTCGTGCATTCATATCAGTTCGTCACATTGGATTTATTGTGAAAACTTTGTGACCATTTTCTCATGAATTGATTTTTCATCAGACTTGATGTAGTCTTTGTGTATTGCATACTGTATATTTTATGCATTATTTAGGCACAAAGCTGATATATATATATATATATATATATAAACACACACACACACAGTCTGATTTCTGTTGTTTTTTTTATGTAAATTATTTTTAATGGTTTTAATTTTGTTACATTTTTTCATTAACTATAATAACCTTGGTAAGTTAAGCTCTTTTTTTTTTAACTGTTCATATGCCAAACAATTACTTGAGGTGTCCACAGAAAATGAGAAAATTCGACAAAAGGCTTGGCGCAAGTTGTTTTAGTGTGAAAATTGCAAATACTTTATTTTTTAATGTCATTTAGTAACATTGGATTTGGTGTGAAGAGGCCACCCTGAGAGGATTTTTGGACTTGAGCCTAGTCAGCAGGGTATCTTGATTTTATGGAGGATTTCCAAAAAAAGCAACCCTCCATTTGAGGTTTGGCATTTCTTGAAAACATGCTTCTTTAATAAAAAGATGCCCACTGTACAATACTTACTTAATCTTTTAAATTTCTTCTGAAAAGAAAAGCGTAGTAGTTTATTGTGGCATAATGGGTGTGTTTTGGTAAATGGAGTGCGTGTTGCCTTCAAACGAGTGTATATTTAACCTCCTGGGGTCGCAGATTTGAATGATAACAGTGAAAATAACTTAAAATGCTCCTTCATACGTGATCGTACATATAAGAGTAATACAGCATTTAAATCTGTAAAGGGTCTACTTTTATTTGTGTACACTCACAATATCAACAAAACATTGTGCTTTTGCAAAATAAAGAAAATAAACAGGGTGTGCTTTTAGCCATCTCATTCTCTGCACATATCAGAACTTTTCCAGGGCCCCAAAACACCCTCAGATCCCAGAGGGTTAAGCTGTAGGCGGGTGGTGAAGGTTGAGGATGGTCTTGCCCCTCCACTGGCACAAAGACCCTGAGAGAAAGCACTCCACTAATAGCCTCTGATTAACAGGATTACAGGCCTTCTGCAGCATTACAACCATTCATCAATTACCCAGTGTACTTAGCATGTGTATGTGTGTGTGGGGGGGAGGGGTATTTTCAATATGTTAAATGTAAATGAATGGGAGGTCACTCTGATGTTGGGTTTTGAATCTTCACTTCACTATGTGTGTCCATACAAGGTGCTACAGTTCCTGGTACAAAGACAGTGAGGTCTAGTGTGTGCATCTGTGTGCATGCGTGTGTGTATGTGTGTACCGTTATAACAGAACACTGACTCCAGTGTGAAGTCAGTATAGTGTGCTGCTTGTCTTGTCATGTCTCTGATTTAATTAGCTGAATTTTAACGAGCCCCAGATTAAATCCCCCAGATGTCTCCGATGGAGCCCCCCCACCTCTGTTTCCATGGCAATGCCATTTTTCCCCCTGCCAATTGGGCTCTAATTAGAGCAGCTATTATGGGCTGGAGGGGTGGGATATGTGTGAGCATGTATGTGCATGTGCATTTTTGGAGGGTGATGGGGGTGAGTATTACATTGCAGACCATGAAGCGTTTGAATTTTGATACTGAAGATATCTTGCTCTTTTCCTCCATCAGTTCCTCCCCTCATCCAGCCCTTTGACTTCCCTCCTACCTCCATCGGTAAGCTGATGTACATAGCTTGTGTGGTATCCTCCGGAGACATGCCAATCCGAATCACCTGGAGAAAAGACGGGCAGGAGATCGTGTCAGGAACATCAGGAGTCACCATCGAAACCAAGGAGTTCATGAGCTCCCTTCAGATCTCTAAAGTTTCGTTGCAGCACAATGGAAACTACACCTGTATTGCCAGCAATGATGCAGCAACTGTCAGTTCAGAGAGACAACTCATAGTAACAGGTGAGCAAGAGAGCAAAGGTTATAAGGCAATATATTGGGATGGGATGCTCAGCATTTTACCAATTAGATCCATTTTCTGGAGCAGATTTACTTAACTTAGGTTCGGGGGATAGGGTTGAGACTATTGAGGTTGAGGTTGTTTGTTTGACCAAATGTTGGAATAGGACCAACAAAACATGTCTTTCTTGGCAAACCACTTTATTGGTATCTCCTCTCCTGAAACTCTATATGTTCCTCATTGTAGTTCCCCCTGGTTTTCGGGTTCAGCCCAATAACCAAGATGGGATCTACGGCAAGTCAGAAGTTCTGAACTGCTCTGTGGAAGGGTACCCTCCTCCCAAAGTTGTCTGGAAGCATGCCAAAGGTAATATCTTTTTTTCACTACATGTCCGAATCAATTTCAAGTTTTCATGAGCAGATGATGAGCCACAACCAACACTGTCTTCATCTTGATTCTGAAGGTATAGGGAACCCCCAGCAATACCATCCAGTTCCATTGACGGGTCGCATCCAGATCTTGTCCAATGGTTCTCTGCTGATCCGCCATGTTTTAGAGGAAGACCGGGGATACTACCTGTGTCAGGCCAGCAACGGAGTGGGGTCCGACATCAGCAAGAGCATGATGCTCACTGTTAAAAGTATGTCAGGCTCTCATGTACATCTGCGCTCATGAAAGGAAGCCCGGGTATTAAAACTTGTATGACTTAATATAATTTAAATGATGTCTCTTACTGAAATATGTGACCCTGGTCCACAAAACCAGTCTTAAGTCGCTGGGGTATATTTGTAGCAATAGCCAAAAATACTTTGTATGGGTCAAAATTATCGATTTTTCTTTTATGCCAAAAATCATTAGGATATTAAGTAAAGATCATGTTCCATGAAGATATTTTGTAAATTTCCTACCATAAAAATATCAAAACTTCAGTTTTGATTACTAATATGCATTGCTAAGAACTTAATTTGAACAGCTTTAAAGGTGATTTTCTTAATATTTCGATTTTTTTTGCACCCTCAGATTCCAGATTTTCTAATAGTTGTATCTCGGCCAGATATTGCCCTATTCTAACAAACCATACATCAATGGAAAGCTTATTTATTCAGCTTTCGGATGATGTATAAATCTCAATTTCGATAAAATTCACAATTTTTGTTTTGTGGTCCAGGGTGACATATGTAGATGAAAATCCATGAAAGATTTACATTATTTAAAAAAATCCACATTGTTTTATACATATGTTGGTCTATGGGGGGAGCCATTATTTTGATGACGTCAAATGGTTGCACTCAGTGAGCTATTGGCACTACCTGTTGCTATTTTTACCGCAACACAACTCAGAATACACAATACGGAAAATAAAATACTGATACGATGACCACAGCTACTGAAAAAGCTTACGTGTCGATGGATATGAGCATAAGCTTAAACCAAATGCCGTATCATCGATTTTTTTCCCCTCAAGGAGTCTAAACGCCCCCGGATATCGAGTGAAATCTATGCTGAGAAACTCGTTCAGTGGCTGTGGCGTCATGACAAGCGTCGGCATGTTTACAACCTGCCAAAATGGCATCTAGCATTTCTTGCCTCTGCTGTTTGTAAGTTATTTTAGTAGCTGTGGTCTACTAAAAGTCTCAAAGGCATCAGGGCTAAAAGTGGTGAGAACAAAGACTCAGGACTTTAGGAAGTTTTATTCATCCACAGGCATCTTCCCATTCTTTTCTCCTCTTCTTAGGACTACGTAGGAAAGCAGTGAAGACTTACATTGCTTCTCTTGTTGCTCTTCGACTAACAATTACAACCAAAAGCCACATAAGGTGGTATCGTATCAGTATTTTATATTCCGAGCTGTGTTGTGGTAAAAATAGCAACAGGTTATGCCAGTAGCAGACCGAGTGCAACGATTTGACAGCATCAAAATAATGGCTCCCCCCATAGTCCAAAATATATATAAAACAATGTGGATTTTTTTTTAAATAACAAAAATCTTTCATGGATTTTCTACTACATATTTCAGTAAGAGGCATCATTTACATTATTTTAAGCCATACAAGTCTTTATACCCGGGGTTCCCTTTAAAAATAAAGGTTCAAAAAGGGCTTTTCACAGTGATGCCATAGAACAGCCATTTTTGGTTCCTCAAATAACCTTTTACTGGACAGTTCTATAAAGAGTTCTAAGCCATGAACCGAAGTAAACAAACCATTTCAGAAATAAATCACAACTTTACAACATTGATTCAAACCAAAAAAAAAAGTATATGTGAACAAACGAACAAATATAAATTAACAAATTACAAAATTAAGAAAGAAAAACAATAGTATGGTTTAAAAGGGAAAAAAAAAAGTATAAGAAAGTAGAAAGTGCAGTAAACAGTAAAACAATTTAGCGCAATTTTGTGTTTATGATTACGATAATAAATTAACGTAATACTGTATGACAACAAATACCAGTTTGCAATATCAAGTAGCATATCAGACTGTTTTTGTACAGACTAAAATAACTGGATATGACTGACACCGAACGCCTTGCACATTTACAAGTTATAAATGACCATACCCACTTTTACATTAAAAATATGGTGGATCGATTTTAATAGATTTTAGATGTTACTAAGCTCAAGTCTCAATACTCTCTAAAGTGTTAAAAAAAAAATATCACAAATGCTGGATGACATTTGAGTGTTTTAAATTGTTTAAATAATTGGAATTAGCAATAGTTTTCAGAGTTTATTTATTTATACATTTGCATTTGCCTTAATTCCATCCAAAAGTCTTGGATACAAATCCTGAGATCTTCTCACTTGTGAAGGATGCGTACAGTACTGCTTTTGACCAAAACAATATTTCTTAGAAGGCTACCTAATTTATGCCTAGACATGTTCTCTAGGTAGACATGTTTCAGGGCATAGCTGTTGAATATCAGACATTTCATAATAGTTAAATCTCTCATTAAACCATGACACAAATAAAGCCATATTTTTTAATGCCAGTCACAGTAGGTTTGAGGATTTCTTGGATGCCATTTGACCTGCAGCCTTTGGGATGGTTTGCGATGGTGTGTGTTTGAGGTCTTTGTTTAAGAATGGCCCTCAGATGGGCTTTCACGTCTCAGACTGATGCCTGCGGGAAGCGTTCGAGACGCTTGAGTGGACACACTCACACACAACACACCACCTCTACACACACACACACAGGCGCACATACACCTGCACCTGTCACACTTTGTCACTCAAACTAATGACCCAGCTTATGATATATCAGTCACACTGAGGCAAGAAATACAAGAAGCCTTTGACTTTTTTTATATAGTAGCTAGAATTGCCAGGAGTTACTGCTTGCATGTGTATGTGTGTGTGTGAGAACAGCTCTCAATAAGAGTACCAAAACAACAAAAAAAAAAGTATATGTGAACAAACGAACAAATATAAATTAACAAATTACAAAATTAAGAAAGAAAAACAATAGTATGGTTTAAAAGGGAAAAAAAAAAGTATAAGAAAGTAGAAAGTGCAGTAAACAGTAAAACAATTTAGCGCAATTTTGTGTTTATGATTACGATAATAAATTAACGTAATACTGTATGACAACAAATACCAGTTTGCAATATCAAGTAGCATATCAGACTGTTTTTGTACAGACTAAAATAACTGGATATGACTGACACCGAACGCCTTGCACATTTACAAGTTATAAATGACCATACCCACTTTTACATTAAAAATATGGTGGATCGATTTTAATAGATTTTAGATGTTACTAAGCTCAAGTCTCAATACTCTCTAAAGTGTTAAAAAAAAAATATCACAAATGCTGGATGACATTTGAGTGTTTTAAATTGTTTAAATAATTGGAATTAGCAATAGTTTTCAGAGTTTATTTATTTATACATTTGCATTTGCCTTAATTCCATCCAAAAGTCTTGGATACAAATCCTGAGATCTTCTCACTTGTGAAGGATGCGTACAGTACTGCTTTTGACCAAAACAATATTTCTTAGAAGGCTACCTAATTTATGCCTAGACATGTTCTCTAGGTAGACATGTTTCAGGGCATAGCTGTTGAATATCAGACATTTCATAATAGTTAAATCTCTCATTAAACCATGACACAAATAAAGCCATATTTTTTAATGCCAGTCACAGTAGGTTTGAGGATTTCTTGGATGCCATTTGACCTGCAGCCTTTGGGATGGTTTGCGATGGTGTGTGTTTGAGGTCTTTGTTTAAGAATGGCCCTCAGATGGGCTTTCACGTCTCAGACTGATGCCTGCGGGAAGGGTTCGAGATGCTTGAGTGGACACAGACTCACACACAACACACCACCTCTACACACGCACACACACCTGCACCTGTCACACTTTGTCACTCAAACTAATGACCCAGCTTATGATATATCAGTCACACTGAGGCAAGAAATACAAAAAGCCTTTGACTTTTTTATGCAGTAGCTAGAATTGCCAGGAGTTACTGCTTGTGTGTGTATGTATGTATGTGTGTGTAAGCAGCTCTCAACAAGAGTAAGAGTGCCCAGCTCATTTAGATTAATAGAACATTACAACGAATCTGTAAGGCCATCTCATGACTGATCGTTAGATCGGACACACAATCTGTTCTGTCCAAATCCATATTATTGATCCTTCACATAATGTAGAGTGCAGAAAACCCCCGTCCACGCAACACTGACCTAGGCCTGAGTTACAGTCCTGACCACATTTAAACAAACCTCATCCACTGGTGTATTTATTAACACTCAGCCATAACATTCTACTCGGTTAAATCTTATGAAGAAATGTCTTAAAAACAATAATAATTATAATACATTTTCATAAAGAGAATGAATTTAATTGTATTTCATTTTATTTGTTTTATTTTCTTTTTCACCCTAATGTCTCATTATGGTAATAATTTTGATCATTACCTTTATTTGTATAGCGCTTTATACCGTACTGATTGTGTCAAAGCAGCTTTACAGTGTCAAACAGGAAAATAGTTTGCCAGTGATGCAAGAAGACTAACAAAGAGTCATTTTCCAGCTAAAGTCAGTTCATTGATGATTCAGTGATAAATTAATCTCATTCTCATTAATGTACTGTAATGCTTGAAATATTCTTATTATTGTAATTAAAATTATAGTATACAGACCATATTATTTTACTAAAATGAAAATAATGTCAATATATATGCGTATAACTGTACTTTACAAGTGTATAATGTGCATTGCAATATGGTGTAAATACATCTCATTCTCATTACTCTAATGCACAAAAAAATCTCATTATTATAATACAATCATTTTGTCTGGACACAATACTTAATATAATCTTGACTTTAATATTTATTTTTAATTCATTTTTTTTTTACTTAAGACCCACTCACTTCAAAAAGTGGACATTGCAAAAACTGTAATTTAAGTGACATTAAGGCAATTTCAAACAAACTGAAAAACGGTGTACAAAATATTTGTGTGAAATTATAGAATGTATAATGACTAATTGATAAAATATGATATTTCGGAAGAAAATTGTTATAAAAAATATATAATTATCATCAATGGACATGAAACTGTACATTAGAATGACTCATATACTGTAAATCATTTAGTATGAAAACTATTACCATTCCATGTACTGAGAATGAGATTTTTTGGCATTAGGCTACTGACAATTTATGCTAAAATCTATGCTACAAATTTCTTGAGGCAATACAGACTTTTTATTAATTATTTTTTTAGGGTGAAATGTAAACGAAAAGAGATTTTTTTTCAAAAGTAATATAAGGTTCTTGACTTAAATATTCACAGTGAAAAAGAAAAGAAATGCTCTCGTGTTTGTAACCTCAGGACAGTAATAGGTGGGATTGCTAGGATAAATGTACTTAAGTTATGTGGTGTTATTCAACAAGAGATAGTAGAACGTGGTTTTAAATTTTCATGCAAAGCCTGTGGATATCATGCGGCTCTATGTTTACGGCATCTGACTTTGTTTAACAGGGATCTGTCTCCTTTTCGCTCTCTCCCTCGAGCTCTCTGAATCAGTGTTGGTGTTATTGATTGAATCGTTCCTCTGTTCTGCCTCTCTCAATTTTATCCGTTTCACTCGTTGGAAGGGAGGGAATGAATAAGTGATGAAAACAAAACAGCGAAACCCTCCTCAGATCGATATTGTGTGCGTGCGTGTGTGTGTGTGTGTGTGTGTGTGTGTGTGGCAGCGCTAGAGAAGAGTGACTCGGGGGAATGAGCAAGCGAGAGAGTGTGAAAAAGTGATTGAGGAGTTGAAGAGAGACACGCTAACGCTCACTGCCCCGTGTCACAAGAAAGCCAGGTGTCGGGTTAAAGTCACACTGACCTCTGCTTCTTTTTAATTTCATTTTTTCCTTCACATATATTTACCTCCTGTCCTAATATATTGTTTGTTCGTGCAGTTCCAGCTATGATCACATCCCACCCAAACACTACCATGGCCATAAAGGGGCAAAACAAGGAGTTAAACTGTACCGCCCGAGGTGAGTACCCCATCATCATTCGCTGGGAGCGAGGCGACACCGTTATTGACCCTGACCGCAACCCTCGGTACTCCATCACTACCAACCCCAACGAGAAAAGCGATGAAGTTATCTCCACATTGAAGGTGAGACACATGTGCAGACACATACAGTATATGTACAGTATGTAGTCAGTGAAGGAGTTCAATAAATGTTGAAAAACGGCAGAAGCTTGCTTAAATGTTTCCAAACAGGTTTCCTAGTAGACTCTTTCACCTTTTTGGTTTTTCAACTTTTATTTTTGCTTTTGTGGTTTGTTTGTTTGTTTACTCACTCTAAAATGATTTTATATTCTGACCTGAGAAGTACATTCATTTATTTATTGAATGATTGATTGATTGATTGATGGATTGATATCTGTGAAGCACATTTAGCTGTATTTATTTATTTATGTATTTATTTATGTATTTATTTATTTATTTGTTCATTTATTTATTTGATTTTATATTCCAATCTTATCTATCTATCTATCTATCTATCTATCTATCTATCTATCTATCTATCTATTATTATTATTATTATTATTATTATTATTATTTCAGTAATATTTTTATTATTATTATTATTATTACTATCTATCTATCTATTATTATTATTATTATTATTATTATTATTATCTATAAATTATTTTATATTCTGACCTGCTTTTTTATTTGTTTGTTTGTTTAATTATTTTCAATGAATTCTAGTATATTCTGACCTGCTAAGCACTTTGAGCTAGATTTTATATATGAAAGGTTGTATTTATTATTATTATTATTATTATTATTATTATTAGTAATAGTAGTATTATTATTATTTAGACACATTAAACTGGAATAAGATAAGTATTTTAACCTTGAAAAAAATATACCCCTCAGCTTTAAATAAAAAAGGTAACATTAGGTAAAGATTTCTAAACAAAGGTTGACAAGGATGAACTCATTTACATCATTTGTCCAATCACAACATATTAGGGAATACAAACAGCCAATCATTTAGCATTCCTACCTTACTGCCAAACTACATATCTTATAATAACAATACATGAAATTGGCCTCAAAATGAGGAAAAGAGAAAAACAAGTTCTTCTCTTAAACACTCTTTCTCTCTTTCTGCAGCTGAAGCCAGCGGAGCGAGGGGATTCCGTCTTTTTTTCCTGCCACGCCATCAACTCATACGGCGAGGGCCGAGGGCTCATCCAGCTGACAGTGCAAGGCAAGACAATCAGCCATGAACAACACGCTCACATCTTACATGATACTCTTTATCTAGAGACACAAAATCAATAATTTACCTCCCGGCCCCAAGCCACCTCTTACTCAGCCTCTCTCTCTGTCTTACTCTATTTGAAGTCTATTTCCACTTGTTTTATTGGCAGAACCCCCTGATCCCCCAGAGCTGGAGGTTCGAGAGGTCAAAGATCGCAGTATGAACCTGAGGTGGACGCAGCGGTTCGATGGCAACAGCATCATCACCAGCTATGACATCGAGTACAAGAACAAATCTGGTGCGGCATTGCTTTGTTTCCATTTCAAGCTTGGATGAATTACATTGTGAGCATGCATTAAATATGTATTTGTATGTCAAAAGAATATGTAGCGAATAAGCTCAGACTACGAGAAGATGAATGGGATGTGAACGGATTTCTGCGGCATTGTGACTTGGGTGTATTGCCTTATTTTGCTGTTTGTACATATGCGGTCGTCTTAGTTTTCAGTGCATCGCTTGTTTTTCAAATCCGTATGATTTGACCTGTAAACAGTCCTCTTTGCATGCTAACAAAAATAATGTTCCAGAACAGCCTGGATGGAGGTGCGATATAGTAATGTATCCTGTTATTCTGTCCTTGTCGCAGACCCATGGGAGCTGAAACATGCCACCCGTAAGATCTCGCCCACCAACAACCAGGCCAACATAGTGGAGCTCCACCCGGCGTCCGTGTACAGCATTCGCATGTACTCCTACAACAAGATTGGACGCAGTCAAGCCAGCAAAGAGCTGACCATCAGCACAGAGGAAGCACGTACGTCTCCCACCCCTAATCTGATCTGATTTACTCACCCTCATGCAGTTCCAAACCTATACCTACTTCTTTCCGTGGAACACAAGAGATGCATTTTTGAAGAATTTCCTGGCCACTCTTTTCCATAATGTCCACAGAAATTTACTGATCTGGTTCCCGAGTTCTTACTGACTCAATGTTTCGATCACAATGGTTGAAAACTCACTGGAAGGGAAGATTATCTGTAAATTTCAGCCTGTTTCTCACACTAATCTATCATATGACTTCAAATAATTGGAATAAAGCACTTAAGTCTTATAGGACACTTTTATTATATGTTTATAGTGCTTTGTACCCTTTTTGAAGCTTAAAAGTACCAGTCCCCTGTCATTGTAATTGCATTAAAAGTTACCATGATATCATACAACATTTCTCATATCGTGTTTCACAGAAAAAAAAGAAAGTCATGCAGGTTTGGAATGACTTTTGAGGTGACAGAATTTTTTATTGCTTTAATATCCTTGTGATATGACATGATTCTCTTCTTACAGCTCCTGATGGGCCACCCATGGATGTGATTTTACAGCCAATGACCTCTCAGAGTATTCGTGTGACCTGGAAGGTATGTCTGCGACTCCTAAACTTTCCATTATTTGGACTTTAGAGCCTAGGTCTTCAACCTTGCTCCTGGGGACCTACTGTTCTGCAGAGTTTACCTACAACCCTAATCAAACTCACTAGAACCAGCTAATAGAGGTCTTCAGGATCACTTGAAAAATCACAGGCCAGGTTTGCTGAAGTATGTTAGAAAAAAAAAGAATTTGCAGAACAGTGGGTTCCCAGAAGCAGGGTTGAAGACCTAGGCTTTTTTAAATTCAGTTTTAAAGTTTTAAATTCACTTATTGTATATCATTTTCTTTTCACTCCACTTAGGCACCTAAAAAAGAGCTCCAGAATGGAGTGATCCGTGGCTATCAGATCGGTTATAGGGAGAATGGACCGGGCAGTAATGGACAGTACAGTATCGTGGAGATGAAAGCCACAGGTGATAATGAGGTGTACACCCTGGATAACTTGAAGAAGTTTGCTCAGTATGGTGTGGTGGTCCAGGCATTCAACCGAGCCGGAACCGGACCTTCCAGCTCTGAGATCAATGCTACAACACTTGAAGATGGTAATGAATATACTTTATCTATCTATCTATCTATCTATCTATCTATCTATCTATCATGCTCTGGGGATTTCTCTTTTGTGTGATTGTGCACGAGTCGTGTGTACTCTGGCCCATGGCCCTCATCCACATGCGTGATATTGATGCTGTTAAGGATAATAGTAATAACAACAAGCATAGGAAAAATAATTATAATTAGCCTGTCTGCCGAAGCCCCTCTCCCTGATCCACTGCTTTTCCTCCCAGTCTAATTATGTGCAGCTGAGCGCATTGTCTCTCCCTCTCTTTTTTCATCTTTCCTCCAGATCCCTCTCTCCGGCTTTCAACTCCCCTCCTCTCTGCACCCACTCCTCTCTCACTCGCTCTCAAAACACCTTTCATTTATCTCTCCCTCCATCTCACAACTTCCCCTTCCACCCCTCCGCCCACTTATGTCCCGCTGTCTTTCTTCTCCATTCTTATTTTTGGAAAGCTCCTGGGTTCTTTTTGTGCCACTGTTGAGTATTCCATCACCCATTTTATTTTTTTTCTAAAAAAATTAATAAAAAATCCAGCTTAGCCAAGATGGTCTACTATATTAAAACCAGGTCTGCTTGTTGATAGTCCAGCCAATTAACAATCCAGACCACCTCTGACCAGCTAATAAAACTGGACCAACTAGAAAACAATGAAAAACCATCTACCACTTTAAGGTGATTTCATTTGCATCTTCTAATTCACACTGATCTGACAGACACGGACCAATTCTGACAGTCACCAGATTACAGTATGTCACTTCTCAGACATGTCAATCAGCAGTAGAGCCCACTGGTGAGAGAGATCACTCTGATTGACTGTTCAGCTTAGTGAACTAGTGCGCCAGAAGAAAAATGGAAGTGATCAAACAACAAATTCAAGAGGTCACACACAGAAGACTTTTCCTAGCTCTTCCGGTTTTCCTTTTTGAATGACGAACACAGACTGCTTCCACATGCTGGTACAGAGAGTTATTTCTTCTTGTGCAGGTGTAGAACGTACAGACTAGTTGGCCATTGGCTGTAGTCTTTGCAGTGTTCAAGCACAACTTTTTGTCCCAGATGCAGGTGACGTGACGCAACACCACAGGCGGCTTTGTCACTGCCAGGTCTTTGATGTTTGATGTACCTGGGCATCACTGAAAAGTGGTCCAAAGATGGATGATTTTGTTTTCATCACAGGGACATCTTTGGAGTGATTCATTGAAAAGATCTGACTCAAAATAAATGATTTGTTCATGAATCAGACATGGCTACTTCTCTCATGAATGTGCCAAGACGACTCAGTGGATGTCAAGATTTTCAGTGCATAATGACTTGAATTTTGTCTGTTTGTTGCATACTGTACAGTAAGCCTATTGTATGACAGAAGATATATAGCACACAAATTATATAGACAACTTTCCAGATGCTTTTATGGCCCATATATGTAAGAAAGAAATCATACTTGTTTGAAATGACATAAGGGTGAATAAGTAGTTTTGCCTAGGAGGAAAGCAAGATGCCAATACACCCATAAGATACCAATATACCTGTTATAAGTGTCAGATCCAGAGAGTGAGTGAGAGCCTGGGTTTTGTGCGCAGGGTTGAAGAGTTATTGCGAGTTGTGCTTGTGAGCGTTCTGTCAAGCCGTTCTACTCTAAATGGCAGTTTTAGTGTGGTCCACCAGGGCCAGACAGAGTCGGACCCTAAGGCCTCTTGAAACAAATACCATGATTTCTCCTCTGCTCTCTCTCCCTCCCTCCTTACACCATCTCCTTTACTCACTACTTCTCTTCCTGCGCCAGCTGCAGCTGCTCCCTCATAGAGCCAAGCCAGCTTTATCCCTCCTCTATACCTCCTTTCATCCTGTCGTCCGCACATGCTTTTTCCCTCCCAGCAAGTCACACAGACAGGCTCTGTGTCCCCTCAATAGTGCCATTATTTATTCAGGGACACAATTTGGCACATCAACACCACCACCACATTTGCGGTGTATCCGGAAAAAAAAATCGAACACATTTAGTAGGTGAAACAGCTCAAGATCGAGATAACAGTAACGTTTCACTTCTCCTCAGCTTCAGGACATGATTGTTCCATCCATTTCGAGTGTAGTTACAAGGTTGTTGATGCTCTTGTGCCATACCAAGTGCTCCAATTGCAGTATATTACTGTCATTTTACTATATCACTGTAATTGTGCTCTTTCACTGCAATTTTTGTTTTCACTTCACCTATTGTATCTTGTTTCCATTGGTGCCTGAATTATTTTCCTGCCGCTTCCTTTGCTTTTATGTGACCGTCTCTCATTTTTCTCTCACAGTTCCCAGCCAGCCACCCCAGAATATACGGGCCATCACGGTGACATCAGACGAGGCGGTGATCACGTGGTCCGAGCCCCCACGGATGACCCTGAACGGGGTTCTGAAGGGCTACCGTGTGGTGTTCTGGTCCCTCTACCCCGATGGAGGTGGGTGCTGTGGGGGCCAGACACTGGGGCTCAATCAGAGTAATTATAAACTATTACTGTTACTTCCTCACTAGCAGCAATCCCTGTAGAGCGCCCCCTACTGCCCACCCGTGTATCTGTATCCCGGCCAGTCCAAACCACAGACGGTGTACATTTGTGGGTGGACAGGTGTATGTGTGTGTGTTGCTGTCTTTTATATCTAAAAGGAGTAAAATGTGGAATAAGAAATCGGCGAAAGCGTCTTCAGTGTCACATGATCCTTCAGAAATCATTCCAATCTGCTGATTTGGTGCTCAAGAAACATTTCTTATAATTATCGATGTTGAAAACAGTTATGTTGCTTAAAGGGATAGTTTCAAAAATGAAAATTATGTCACTATGTACTCACCCTTGTGTTGTTCCAAACCTGTATGAGTTCCTTTTTTTCTGTTGAACACAAAAGAAGATATTGGCTACCATTGGCTACTGCAACTGTTTGGTTACCAACATTCTTCAAAATATCTTCTTTTGTGTTCAACAGAAGAAAGAAATGTGTACAGGTTTGGAACAATGTTAGGGTGAGTAAATGATAAAAGTAAATATTTTACCTTTCACTTTTGATCAATTGAATGTGTCTTTTCCGAATAAAAATATACTGAAAAAAAAAGATTTAAAACTGCAAACTTTCGGTAGCGTACTTTAACCAACTTGTTTGAACAGTAAAAATGGTTCATAAATGGGCTGAGTAATGGCAAGGTAAGGGTATATAATTTATACCAAACAGAAGTGAGGGAAAAATTCTATGAAAAAAGTCTATGGGTCCTTTTGTGTTTATTAATCTATGTCACTTACAAAAAAGTACTGTGGCAGTACCCTGGTACAGTAAAGATATAAGATGGTAATACTATGATACTTTAACATATACCTTGATTACAAAATCATATTCAGTAGGACTCAAGGTTCTTCAAAAAAAATAGCATGCTGTTACCATGGTGTATATCCAAAAATAAATGGTATTTTAACATCTCTAAAGAGCCATGGGAAAACTTTTTACTTTTTGTTTGTTTTGCATTGAGACATAAATATCATTGTCTGCTAAATATAGCTATAGCAGTGACAAGCAACCCTTTGTCCAGCAAAATGGACTATTTTAGTCTCCCTCTGAATAATAACATGGTATTTTTTTGTAAGTGGAATGTGTAAACATGTTTATCCTGTGTTCCCTTGTGAAGTGTTCAAAGTGTTATTAGTGAGTAAATGAAAATGCAGAAAAAGGAGAGTCATTTAGTTTTTTTCACGTCTCTCAGAATGGGGAGAGATGCAGAACATCACTACCACTCGTGAGCAGGTGGAGCTGAAGGGTTTGGAGAAGTTCACAAACTACAGCATTCAGGTCCTGGCCTACACACAGGCAGGAGATGGCGTCCGCAGCAATGTACTCTACATACAGACCCGAGAAGACCGTAAGTTTGCGCACCACACAAGTAAACATGACCACTGATCATACCTCAACATATCTGCAGAAACCTAATCTGCTGACTTGTTGTCTATTCCATTAGACAGTTAAGGCATCATGGAACCTCATATGTGACTCCTCACATGAAACGCACAAGAAACCTGACTTGACATTAGCATGTTGCTAAGCTAAAAGCTTAGCATAAAAATACACAGCATCCCAAAATATTGGGTAAACTAGTACATTTTTTAATTACACTAAACTATTTTATTGCTCATTTCCAGTTTGATATATTGGTCCATTAACATTTAAAAGTTTGGTGTTGGTAAGATGTGTTAATGTTTTTCAAATAAGTCTGTTATGCTCAACAAGGCTGCCTATATTTGATCAAAAATACAGTAAAACAGAAATGTTGGAGAATAGTATTACTTTTTAAAATAACTGCTTTTTATTTGAATGTATTTAAACATATTATTTAGCCCTATGATGACAAAGCTGAACTTTCAGCAGTCTTCAGAGTCACATGATCAGTGTCACAATCATCTTCCTGAGTTTGCTGCAGTGCAATTCATTCTGGGACTGCCTTCTTTATGAATGATTTTGTCTTAGAATGTGGCCCATCGAGGGATCTTCAAAGACAAATCAATGTGACTTATTACTATTGAGCATATTATGATCCCTTAACATGCTCCCTAAATAGCCAGCTCACTAGGTTTTGGAACACAAAAATAAAAGAATAGTATATAGGCTTTTATCTGTAACCGATAATTGTGACCATCCATTGAGCTTTCAACCCAGCCAGTGGAGAACCCGTATTCAACATCTGATTATGTTAAACGGCCACTTTAACAACAGACAGAAGTTTTAAGGCCTGTTCACACCAATATGAATGATCAGTCCAAAAATGTGGCCCAGTTTTTGAATGCGATTTGTCTGTTCAGACAAATGGAAAGAAATGGCATGGAATGAAAACACAAATTCACTCTCTCACAGTAGGTGGCGCTTATTTGTATTTGTTATGGTGTTTATCAAATAACAGCAAATACAAGAGTACAGAGATAAGAGAACCAGTTCTGCATTTATCTTCTACTGTTCACTGTCGCTTAACAAAATTCTGTTCGTGAGTGTCACCAAGTCATAGTTTTCTGTAACAGCAGTGGCTCTGGGCATATGAACAAAAGCTCAAAACTTAGTGGTTGGCAAATTTTCTTTGCAGTGGAATGAAAAGAGAACACCACTTCATAAAAATGTGAATGCGAATGTTTGTGTCGGTCTGAACACTAATCATTTAAATAAAAATATGTACTGCATTTCATGCACACTGTACGCAAACCTTTGCATATATGTAAAACCTGAAGTATACTTTGACAGCTGACTAAATAGGCAAAAAGACAGCTTGACATCTTTTGTCTTCTTTCTAAGTCCAGAAAAACCTGGAATATTTTACACATTTTACAAACAAACCTTTTGGTCACTGGGAGGTGGTATATCCCACAATGTCTCTGTCATACATTAATAGTGTTCTGTCTCTCTTTTTCTCTTTCAGACCCCGGCCCTCCAGCTGGCATCAAAGCAGTGCCATCCTCTGCCACCAGTGTGGTGGTATCCTGGCTTCCCCCCATCAAGCCCAATGGTATCATCCGAAAATACACAATTTACTGTTCCAGCCCTGGATCGGGCCAACCGGTGAGGCATTAAAGGGGGAAACTTGTTTTTAACGTTGATTTTGGTGTTAGTGTGGCTTGCGTTAGTGTTTTTGTTCAAAAACTAAATGAAGGCACACTTGTGTTTGTTGAAACAGACAAGAGTGAATATTTGTGTTTTTTATATTTTATTTTCTTTTTTTTTTTTTTTTTTTTTGCACTTATTTGATTTATTTAATATGGTTGTGGGAACAGTATGTGTGGATTTTAGATTCTATCAGTTTTCTTTCGATTCTAAATATAAATCAGTGTTTATTTCACTATATTGTCTATTTGTGTCTGGATTTGTGGAGAGTGTATTTTTAATCTGTGCATGTGTGAGGTTGTGCTGCAGTATCAGCGGGATGTGTGTGTGTGTGTGTGTGTGTGTGTGTGTGTGTGTGTGTGTGTGTGTGTGTGTGTGTAAACAAATTAAAATGATAGAATCGCCAGGATGTGTGTGTGTGCGTGTGTGTGTGTAAATGAGAGGCTCATACTGCAGTGTGTGCATGCAAGCTCACCCTCCCGTCTCATTTGCATATCTGCGTCTCATCACGTTGCCTAGACAACCTCATCTGTTCATCAGGGAGGGCAGGAAACAAGCTGAGAGCACACAGACACACACACACACACACACATCTCACAGGCTCAGTCACATGTATAACCACCTCCTCAACAAACACACACACACACACACACACACACACACACATAATTTGTGTACTCTCACACTGAATTAATGTACCTGTCCAGATGTACACATGCTCACTCTCTTCCTTTCTTTTGCTCATTCACAAATCACTCCTCTCTCTCTCTCTCTCTCCGGCCTCTCGCAGAGCACGGGGTGATTACTAAGTTTCCTGTGAGGGGTAGGTTTAGGGGTAGGGTTGGTGTAGGGCAATAGAAAATACAGTTTGTACAGTATAAAAACCATTACGCCTATGGAGAGTCCCCGTAAACCACAAATACAAGTATGTGTGTGTGCGCGTGTGTGTGTGTGTGTGTGTGTGGCAGCATTCAGTACAATCGGTGGGAATGACACTGTGTGTGTTTGCATGTCTGCGGGCCGCAGACGTTGACTGTGATGAGCACGCGTTTGGACAGCAGACACATGGCTCTCTTAAACACACTACAATTACAGAGAGCTCGAAGCACAGCCTAACGTCACTTTATTTCTGTGTGTGTACAGTGTACGATTTTATATTTTTGTTGTGCATTACAATGAAAGGTGAATAATAGAAGTACTCATTATGGAGTGTGTGTGTGTCTCACGCATGCTGAGGTGAGCAACAGATATCTCTCATTAGTCGGCCTCTATTGTTAGTGTTATCTGAGGCTGACTGATCTAGTGTGTCTAGGGGTATTGTCTTTTTACCCTCTCATCTACTTGTGTAAGGCCACCTGGGTCTCACTCTCTCTCTCTCTCTCTCTCTCTCTCTCTCTCTCTCTCTCTCTCTCTCTCTCTATCTCTCTCTCACACACACACATACAAACACATATACTGTAGACGCAAATGCACACACAGACACATAGTTCAGCCTTTTTCACTCACATTTTCACTCACATAAAGAAAAGCAGCAGAAATCTCTTAGCGTGTTATTTAGCAAACGCTATTAAATCAAGGGTAAAGGAAAGAATTGTCTTTGATAGTCATTTTTTCCAGGTGCCACCACACCATGAGTTACACATTCGCCTCTACACAAGAGTCCAGTATAAATCCCACATGAAAACAAGTCATCATCTTTCATTTTTAGCTTTAAAAAGCATTTTTATAAGAGCTGGAGCCTAAAGCAAGGCCAAAAACATTCTCTGTGCAAACGTTAATACTTAGCAAGTGCAGTTCCATTAAAACATTAATTGTTGTGATGGTAACAAAGCTCAGTACCAAGCTGTTATAAAATGTGTTTTCAATCGTCATTTCAACAGGAATAAATGGGATCAGGAACTTCATGTGAGGGTGTAATATTTATTCATACAGATTTCGCAATGGTTTCAAACTGGTCAGGTTAATTCACTGCACTCACAATATGTGTGGGCAACTTTTTCACCCTCATGTGAAACTCCCGATCACAGATTCGTATTAAAATTACAGGATTTTGCCACCAATATCGTAGAACAATGGCAGATGTGGCAACACCTTTATTCAGGTAGCTACCTAATTTCTGCCTCACTAGCATAACCAAATGGAGGAAAAAAAAAACTGTTTTCAAACGGGTTTCCTGAATAGAATATAAGATAGTCCCACTTACATTTTAAAGGGGTCATATGATGTTGTTAAAAATAACATTATTTGGTGTATTTGGTGTAATGAAATGTGTTTATGCGGTTTAAGGTTCAAAAAACACATTATTTTCCACATACTGTACATTATTGTTTCTCCTCTATGCCCCGCCTTTCTGAAACACATCGATTTTTGCTCAACGCTCATCGGTCTGAAAGTCGAGGTGTGCTGTGATTGGCCAGCTATCCAGTGTGTTGTGATTGGCCGAATACCTCAAGTGTGTGACGGAAATGTTACACCCCTTACCATACTGTGATGCAGTGTCCCGGGGGGAGGAGACAAAACCAATAAAACCCATTATAAATGAGGCATTTGTTGCATCCAGTGGGGACATAATTACGGATTATAATGACTTATGCTGTCTTTTTAGGCGCTGCGTTGCGTTGCATCGCGCCGTGTAAACATAAAATCATGTCTGCATTTGTAATCGGAGAAATGACAAACAACAAGCACTACTCTACACTGC